ACATATATATATATATATATATCTATCTTTTTTGCTGCCTGATATTTGTGCTAAACACGTGAACTAAATGCGGCCGTGTGAACAAGGCAACGGCAATAATAGTCGTAACAGCAAACATCATAATCACAATATCAGAACAGCTAGTTCACAATGGAAGTTCGTTTTTGGGCGTGCAAATACCAAAAGTCGCGGGCGTTGTCTTTGAATATTTCTGTTGCTGTATTTGCATTTTCTTGGCCCATTACGTAATGCCGCATACGACGATCAGCGCTAAAACCGAAAGTTATTTCTTGTGTCGGAATCTCTATCTGAATCTGGTTTTTCGATTGGTTTTTAGTTTACTTTTTACTGTTTTGTTTTAGCTTCAGTTTTAGTTTTTAGTTTTTAGTTTTTGCTCGCCTCGTGTTAGGCCGCATTCAGTTGCAGTTAGTTAATGGTAATTGGGCTGTTATGGACTGCCTGGCACACTGGCTTTTTTTCTTGATTTTTTTAAGTGCCCCTAAGTCGAGTGTGTAAAATAATGAGCAAAAATTAAAAAAAAAAAAAAAAAAAACAATAGAGGTAAAAAATACAATAGAACACACGGCTGCGCTTTGGTGACGTCTAACGGCATAAATCAAAAGACTGAAGACACAAACTTGAAGCGCGCCTCAAGTGTGCTGGGTATGCGTGTGTGTGTGTCGGTGTATGTGTGTGCATTTGTGCGCTGGTGTGTGTTCTCTTCTATTTATGAAAAGCAATAAATGCTGCCAAAAATAAACGCTCGTTTGCCAACAATTCATAGGAAACGCGACGTTAATGAGCTGCCAGTTAGTTCAAGGCGTGTCCAAAAGCCAAGTTATAGATAAATAATGGCTATAGTATAGCTGACATAGCATTTGCCAATGAGACAGCCGAAAGGCATACAAGGCAAATAAAATTAACATGAATATCATGCGAAGCCAATAATAATGGAAATTCGTTGTATTATGAAACAAATTACAATTAACAATCCATTGGCATTTCCTATTATATGTAAAAATAGCTAATGTTTTTTACATATCAAATTCAAGAATGAGCCAAATAAAAAATGTGGCATCCTATAGTAAGAGTCAAATAATAAATAGTCAACTTGTTAATTTATTGTGTGCTTATTCAGCTGTTAGCTTGACTGCAATTAAAGCCTTTTTACAGAGTCAGGAATACATCTCACATAATTTGACTTTGTTTTTAAGCTAACAAACCACTTAACATCGGGAAGTACATGTATCAGGACTGCAAGAAGATTAACATAACAGATTAATGTAACAAGAGAGGATTACAGAGGACATTAACATTTGAGCTAGATTAAAGAAAATATTCAACTTCTCTTGATTGAACTTTAACTTTATAATCACTGGATTAAGAAAAATAAAAATGAAATTAACGTACACATAGACTGTTATTTATATATTAAATATTTAACAATTACATAGCTTAAACACTCAGATACTTAACTAATTGCTCTGCTCTGCTGAGTGTTATTCAAAAGCATTGAGCACCTTCTAACTCATTGACATAATTACTCGAAGCCATAACTGAGTTCTAACCCACACAGTAGCAATTATTTCCTTGCAACACTAGAAACTCCCCTTTTTATCGTTTACTTGACGACTTGGCTATGCCGTGAGTTTCGCTACAAGTTGAAGCATAATAAAAGTGTCGTATCTTACATTGTTTTGTATCACACCATAAAATTATTCACAATTCAATGCGCATTTGTCGCTTGCTTTGGCACAAATCAAACTTGAAAACCTCGCCCACGTCTAGAACGAGGCGTTGAACCACCACAGCACAACGGCCAGAAGCAGCTCCATGTTCATGTGGGTGCTCTGCTGACGCTGCTCTGGGGTTGTGTGTGAATTAGGTATGCGTGTGTGGGTGTGTGGGGTGTTCTGGCAAGGCGAATTTCGGACAGCAAAATCGAACCAAATCGAAAAATGTGTAAAAATGCCACACAGCCAAATGGGAAAAAAATAAAGGAAAACACCTACACATGCAATGCATGATATCGTTGCAAAAACTTGGCCAGCTCCAGTTTGGCCAGATTTAGTGGCTAAGCCTAAAATGTTTTCAGCCGCTTACGTAATGTAACTGGCATGGCCCTAAAACTAAAACTGGGCGTGTACACGTTGTATTGTTCGGCTCAAACAAGCCGCTTGAGTCACGTTAAAGATGTTAACAGAAAACAACAACATCAACTGGCGACAACAACAGCAACAAGGCTAGTAAAAAACGGCAAACAAATGAGGCAACTAGCCAAACACTTTCGTTGACTGTTTGCTCTCTTGACCACTGTTCAAACAGCGCATTGCCTCAATTGTGGCTGTAGTTGGGAGTGATGTTAAAGCTTAGAGTTGTTGTTGAAGTGGACGTTAAACTTCAGGCTGTGCCCATTCCCATGACCTTGCGAAATTAGCTGGCGCTGTCCCACTAAAATGCCTCGATTTAGAACGCGTGCTCATTAACTACAACTAATTACGACCAGGTTCATTGCCAATGCCAATTGCAACCACATGACATCAGCAGCAGCAACAGCAACAGATCACAATTGACTTCATTTCAGTTGAGTTCAGTTGAATTGAGTTGACTTCAGTTCAGTTTAGTCACATAATGTATAATATATACTACACTACATTCCACATATACGAGTACATAAATCCATAACTCATTTCGCTGACGACCTTAAAGCTTTTTTTCAGCCTGTTGACCGTTTACACATGTGGAAATCACTTCCAACTATTTGCTGTCTATCTAAATTTATGCAATTTTCGCAGCGCAATTCATAGTGTAATTATACCCTGTAGCCATAAAAATGTTTAAAGTGCAGGGTATCATTAAGGTTCACGTCATCTAGCCTTTATAGAAAAGTATAGGTAAAAATCGTATGGCATATATATACACTTACAGTTTGCATTACAGCTGCTGTGAAAGCAGAACTGTTAACAGAGCTGTTAAATAACAGGAATGTTGATGATTATTCTGTTAATATATTATGAATGAATATATGACCCTCTCGGTCAATTAACACTACTTGGGATCAATGTAGGTAATTCATTGCGCTTTCAAGTCTTATTCATCTTTACATTGTGATGCATGTCTGAGAGAGAGAGAGAGATTCAGACACCATGCGAACACAGGGCATCAGCTCGTCGAGCACAACCGTCGAGGGCGTTCTTACTTGTTTTTCAATCAGTTTTTGTACAAAAAAGTCAGCACACTGAGCTTGTGGACTTGTCGCGCTTCCATGGAAGATGCGTGATGTCATCATCAAATACAGTAAACACGTTCAACAAAAATTGTTTCTCAATATGCGAAAATAAAACAATTTTGGTATTTGAAATGTGAGCCCCCAAGATGATGTATGTAAATGGCTAATACGAATGTGTGTATGAATCTATTTAAAACCGGATTTCCGATAATTAAGGCCTTTGCACCTTTGACGCCTCGCTGTCTTCTGCCCAAATGCAAATGTTGGCCAGCTTTGAGTAGGCGCGCGGGGCCTTTGGACCGCAACAACAAACCGCAATTTGTGTTTTTTGGCAGCATTTGCTAAACGAACTATCAAGCAGACCCCAATTAGCGCATTTCAAGTAGCTTTCAATTTGGTCGAAATGCCTGCGGTAAAAGCGAAGTGAAATTGTCCCACATTGATCAATTGCCCAGACAATTATAATTGCAATTGTATGTGTGTGCTTGTGTGTGTGTGTGTGTGTTTGTCTAAGCTGCCACATTTGCTGGCGCAGTGCGTCAGAGCGACACCCCACCCAGACACCAGCGAGACCAGGCCGCAGCAAACGCTGTTTATGTTATATGGGCTGTAAGCAGAAACCTTGACGGCCTTCTAACTCGCTCCACGCTGTGGCTGTTGTGAAAGACTTACAGTTTCCTACGCTGCGCCAACAACAACCACACACTTTTAATACCCTGTAACCACGGAAAATGGCTAAAAAGGGTTATAGTAGTTTTGTGCGAATCTATGTAACAGGCCAAGGAGGCATCTGTGATCGCATAATCTAAGGAATATTCCAGATCAGGACGGCGAGCTGATTTGATCTAGGCATATGCCTCTGCTCCCAGTCTGTTGTAACACGGGCACTCGAAAGCTAGAAGAAGTTCATTTAAAAATAACAAAATATCGAGTTTAACTTTATTTATCCATAACACCTCCTGATATTGACTTGAATTGTTGAGGTTTTTAAGGATAACTCGAAGATTATAAAGGCTAAAGATACCAACTATGGTATATGGATTATTTCTATACCATATACAGAGTAGGAACTCTAGATACTGGACACTGGGTACGGGGTATCTACTAGCTAGCACTCCCTTACTAGAGCACTCTTATTTGTTTTTTATTTTTTTTTTTTATATTTTTTTTTAGACGCTGCCCACCGCACTGAGATCGCAAAGTTTTTGTTTTTGCGGCGAAATTCCAAACTAAGTGAATATTTTCTGTGGTTGTTGTTTTTCGTGTTTTATTGTCAGATACTTTTTTCAATTTTTCCTTTTGGCTCGCTTCGCTTTGGCTTGGAACGAACGTTGCAAACCAGTTTTTCTATAGCCAGATTCGGATTCGGATTCGCATACCCACATTTTTGTATCTCTTGTTGTTGTGCTGGTGGTTGTTGTTGTTCTTGTTGTTGTTGTTGCCGTTGTCAAGCCGAGCTTTAAGCTCTGTCATGACGTCATTGTTTTTGCACTCACCGCCTCGCATGCTGTTTGTTTTGGCCAGAAAGCAAGTGGCCCAAAGTGCCAGCCACTCAGTTCGCATTGGGCAATGATCGCGTGCGCTCGGCAAATCGAAATCGAAATCGAATCGAACCGGAGTCGGAGTCGAAATCGGGAAATCGGACGTTGAAATCGCAACGAATCGCGTTTCCCAATTAACAAGTTAATAGAATTTTTGTTAATCTTTCGTTTCACGCTGATTGGATAGTCATTAAAATAAATCAAAATATAGAAATACAATAAAAGCAAATACAATGAAACAATTGCCAGCTGAAGTTGCATAGAAAAAACTGAGGCAAACGAAACGCAACGAAAGTGTACCGAAGTGAAGTGTAGTGAGCTGAGGTGAAGTGAGGTGACGAAAAGTGAGCGCCACAACGCCACAATGGACGTCAAAGATATCAAGGGCGCCAAGGTGACGCACGCGGGTCTGCTCAAGCACAATACAGATGGCACCACCGAGACCCAAAAGATCACACATGCCGGCCTGGTGGCGCGCAGTCCCGAAGGCACCGCCGCCAAGGGCATGAATATACGCGGCAACGAAGACCTGTGGGTGGAAATCCAAGCGAACACCTTTCGCAATTGGGTCAACGAGCATTTGCGCGAGACGGGCATGCAGGTGAGTGCTATGCATATGGGCTAGTCCGTAGACACTTACATAAGAGGCGAGCGTTCAGTGAAGCGCAACTGTCTAACAATACGACGCTCGGTTACTCAGTCAATGGTCGGCCAGTCAATAGAACTATCGATTACCTGTATGTAACATACAAATGGATTAGATCAGCGCCTCGAGCAGGGCCTGGGCTCATTGGCATGCCCAGCTACAGCTTGCACGCTTGGACAGCTCGTGGGCCTGCAGGTCTGGCTGGTATGCTGCTCTTCCGTGGGGCCTTAAAATGCCTTAAATGGCCAGGCACCATACGCCACCCCGGTACAGTCATAAATATCAGCTCAGATCTCGACTCATTGTCGCCCACACACACACGCACACGCGGCGTATACGCAACGCCCACGCCTGGAGCAAGTGCGACGACTTCAATGGCAAACTTTACTCACACAAAGCCGAAACACTCGAAGGCGACATTTTCAAATTGCGTCGGTCAATTTAATTACAATTACGAACATGCAATCGCTGCTTTGCGCTCAAGTGGCATGCATTTCATTAGTCAATTTGAAAGCCAGCTTCGGGTCGAGTCGCCTTTGTTGGATTTTAGTTGTTTTTGATTTTTATAGATATTTTTCTCACACATGAACTGGCCATATTTGGGCGCATGAATGCCAAGGCCGCAGCTCAAAAAAAACAACAAATTAAAATAAATACATATATAAATAAAAAACACAGCATCGCTGCAAAGCCATTACGTGTTACAAAACAAAAGCCAGCGACAGATCTTTCAAGTTTTATGCATACATTTGGGACAGTCAAAAAAAACCGAGAGATGATGCGACGAGGCAGCCCGGCAACCAGGCAGCTGGGGCAAGGCCGCAGCCCTCCAAAATGGGCAGAGTTCGCATACGAGTCAGGTTGTAAACAGCGCTAATTGAGCACCCAGCCAATGACAATAGGCCTTAAAAAATGAATAACAACATGCCAACAAACCTGGCTGCTATATTTAGGTCAAAATGCCAAATTGAGACTGTCAAGTGTGCATTTTATATTCTAGCTTATGGCTAATAAAATTGCAATCAACTCTGTGTGCCATATTCTCTTTTGTGCCATAAAATAACAACTAAAGAAAACTATGCTCGGCATGCCACAGCTCAATACTCTATCAGGTGCATTTAATTGAGTCTAAAATGCATTAGGTTTTTGATATACAATATTCACAAACTGTTCTCACAACAAGCTGTAAAGTATTCCCATGCATTAGTATCTTTACGCAGTAAAGTAGTATCTTTATTAACAGCGCATACTAATTACAAGCGTAAAACGTTTTTTCAGTTTGCAATAAATGAAACGTTCATTTTTAAGGCAGAAAAATCGTGTGGCATATTGCTTGTCATATAGATAAACAATTAAAGTACAACTAGAATTCATTAAATTCATTCAAAAAAGCTAGTGAAAAAATGCCCACACATTTGTCTGCTAGCATTACAGCTGGTTAGACTGTTGTTAACAGCCCCTTTAAATTGTTTGACGTAAAACGCTTTTCAGTTTTGCAATTAAACTAAAATGCATTTGCTTATTACACATTGGTGAGAAAACTAATTTAAAAAGACTCTGGTTTTGCACTTGCTTGGGAATAAATATCATACAGCTATTGGATAGTAATTTATACCCAGAAAACTCTAACAGACATGTGTTAGCAACGCTAGTTGCTTTTATGTTATGCATTTTAAACATTGAAAATGGAATATATTTAGCATAGTTTAATGCATGAAAAGGAATCAATATTGCCTTACCGATCAACTCAACAAAGATTGTAGGAAGCTATATGTTAAACTATTAACATCTAGTGTCTTACATAGCTTATGATGTTATCAATTAACAGTATCTAATGCGAATGGAGCAGATGTCAGCAGAGAGTCCTCTAGGCCAGTCCCTCGCGCATGTGGTTGCCTCTAGGATATATGATGAAACTTTTCGCATAGCAGACAATAGGAATTTATGAGCGCTTCTTGATAATATCCACTCCCGCACAGCATAGACTTGCAAATTCAAAGGTTATGCGCACATGACAACAAGAAGAAGAACAGTAACAGCAACAACAGCAACAACGATAACAGCAAAAGACAACACCCCCAACTGCCAGCCAAAGTGGAGCTGTTGTTGGCGCTTGTTAGGGAACAGCGCGTTGGCAACTATGTGCGAGATTTTTATGGCCATCCACAGAATATTTGCTGTATGGGGCACGAACAGAAAACAAACAGCAACAGACACGCGATTGTCTCGCCGGCTGCTGACAGCTCCAAGATAAAAAGCTTTATGTCAAATGGCAAAAATTGCAAAGACGATGCCGGAGAAAGCCAACTGGCAACAGCTTCAGCTCCAGCCTCAGCTTCAGCTCCAGCCTTGCCGTGTGAGTGTATTCCGGCCAAGTCAGAAGGCGGTACACGCCCAATGTGGGCCACAACTAGCGGGCTTTTCAACTTATTGTTGTTTTTGTGTTGTTGTTGTGTGTTGTTGTACCTTTGCTGATTGCCCATTATGAAAGCTGGCTGACAGCAGCAGGCATGTAGGTACATTAGCAGAAAACATGCATAGTTTCGCACAGACAATGCTAATTAACGCCCATTGAAAGATTCGCCATTAGTGATTAAAATAAAAACATAAATAATAAAACTAAAAAAAAAACATCTGCCATTTCTTCCACTTGGGGCAGGTGCATGACTGGGCTACGGACTTCTGCGATGGCACCTGTCTGTGCGCTGGTCGAGAACCTGCAAACGCGTCCGCTGAAACCATCGTGGAATCGCCGGCCGGCCAATCAGCATCATTATCTGGAGAATGCCACAACCGCTCTCAAGTCGATTGAGGCGGATCACATCAAGCTGGTGAACATTGGCAACGTGGACATTGTCAATGGCAACGTGAAGCTGATATTGGGCCTCATCTGGTCGCTGATTGTGCGCTACCAGATCGGACGCAGCAAATTTCCACCGCGCAAGCTCATGCTGGCCTGGCTGCAGGCCGCGCTGCCGGATTGCAAAATCACCAATCTCACGACAGATTGGAATAGCGGCGTCAACTTGGCCGCGTTGCTGGACTACTGCCAGCCGGGCCTGTTTCCGCACTGGCGCAGTCTCGATCCTAGTCAGAGTGTGCGCAATTGCACCAATGCCATGAATCTGGCGCAGCGCGAGTTCGGTGTGCCCAAGGTGCTAGAGCCCGAGTATCTGGCCTCGCCTTGGCTGGATGAGCTCCGGCATGACGTATTTGTCGTACTTCATGAAACCAGGTGGACCCGGCTACAATGCCACCATGCGTTGGGTTAACACACAGGTTAAGGAGCCCGTCAAGAATTTTACGGTGAGTGATAACAATATATTGACCCTTAATAAATTCAAAGTTATAACCGATGAAAATCACATTCCTCTCACACACGCTCTCTCTCTCTCTCTTTCGCTCTTCATCTTTGTTTAAAATTATTCTTCCCCCCCCCCCTCGTACTGTATTTTTAATATTTATTATAACTTTAATTTCTTTTTTCTACTTCTGTCCGATATCCCTCTCTATTTTTTAGTTTCTCTCTCATTCTCTTTTCTGTTTCTCTCTCTCTCTCCCTCTTTCTCGATCTCGCACTCTTCCCTACTTTTCTTCACCTCTATCTAATCCCTTTCTTCACATCTCTCTCTTGCAACCTTCTGCATCTACTTCCGTTCCTATTGACCCACTTACCTTTTATTATAATCGGCTCTCTATGCGATTCTCATGTTTGGTTTCTTATGTATATAATTATATAATAGTGTTATTTTAAACAATGGTATTTTAAAAAGCCATTGCTCTGCTTACTCACTATTACTTTATCCCTCACTCTGGCTGAATATACAATTGCGCGCCCGCAATCATAATTGTGCATTAATTGTAATTGGTTTAAACTATTAATTGCATTGCATTGTAGACCGATTGGAACGATGGACGCGTGCTGTGCGAAATCATCAAGGGACTGGGCGGCTCGGCACCAGCGCCAGATAAGCTGAGCACCGATCCCTTTCACTATGAGAACAATATACGCAAGGCCGTCGATGCTGGCGCCAAGCTGGGCGTTCAGCCCATATTGACGCCCAAGGACATGGCGAATCCGGAAGTTGAGCATCTGGGCATCATGGCATATGCAGCCCATCTGCAGTGGGTGCCGCCGCGACCACCGCTCTCCGACCTGGTCAACGTTTATTTGGAGAGCACATCCGGCCGTGTGGGCGAACCGGTATGTACCACGCACAGCTGTGTGCTTGACATGACCTGCATTAATGCTTAATACCCATTTCACACGCAGACGCATTTCCGCATCGACGTGCTGTCGCGGGACATCAGCTTGAGTTCAGTGCGCTGTCACGTGGTGCCCCCGTCCGGTAATCCCGGCCAGCC